AACAGAGGGATAGAATCAAGACCACGTGAAGTGTTAATACCACTTTACAAGGCCTTGGTAAGGCCACACTTGGAATACGGCATCCAGTTTTGGTCCCCACGATGTAAAAAAGATGCTGAGACTCTAGAAAGAGTGCAGAGAAGAGCAACAAAGATGACTGGAGGCTAAAACATGAGGAACGGTTGCTGGAATTCGGTATGTCTATTTTAACGAAGAGAAAGACGAGGGGGGACAGGATAGCAGTCTTCCAGTATCTCAGGGTTGGCCCCAAAGAAGAGGGAGTCAAGCTGTTCTCCAAAGCCCCTGAAGGCAGGACAAGAAGCAACGGATGGAAACTAACCAAGGAGAGAAGCAACCTAGAACTAAGGAGAAACTTTCTGACAGTGAGAACAATTAACCAGTGGAACTACCTGCCTCCAGAAGCGGTGAATGCTCCAACACTGGAGGTTTTTAAGAAGAAACTGGACAGCCATTTGTCTGAAATGGTATAGGGTTTCCTGCCTGAGCAGGGGGTTAGACTTGATGACCTCCAAGGTCCCTTCCAACTTTACTATTATTATTATTCTTATTAAAAACCAGAGATGCCTGTAGAAAACCCCCCCGGGGGGGAGATGGAGGCAGGGTGTCCGCTAGCTGTGACCAAAAAAATCAAGAGCTGGATTGCATCACTGTGGCCGCCATCTTGCCTTTTTTGACCTCACCCTGCTTACCACCTGAGACCTTGCTGTTCTTAGCACGTGGAGGGGGGCATTTCCCCCAGCCCAGCTGGCCTTGTTCCCGCCCCCCCCCATGCCAGTCTCTGCCCGTCTGTCTCTGCCCCCCTGCAGCTTGATGTCCGGCTTGGCCACCATGGACTCCCGTGTCTGTGGCAAGATGGGCCTGCTGACCATCACCTACTACCTCTGGACCACCTTCATGGCCGTCACCACCGGCATCGTGCTGGTCCTCAGCATCCACCCCGGCGCGGCTGCCCAGAAGGAGGAACACTCGGTGGGCAAAGTGGTACTCAGCTCGGCCGACGCCCTGCTGGATCTCATCAGGTAGCCACCCTCCCCCCCCCGGCTGGCCCTCCCTCGGCCCTGGCGGTGGTGGGTTCAAGGCAGCGCTTCTTCAGCTTTGGACGGGGGGTCACCTGGCAGCGCCCCAGGGGCATCGTGGAGGGGGGGCAGCGGCCCCAGGTGAGGCTGCGGCTAGACCCGGTGGCTCCTGGCCGAAGGATTTATCCGTGGTTCTCGGCTACGGGTGCTGGCAGGTGCAGAGGCCGGAGGCTGGAGAAAAGGTGCCCTCCCTTATGGAACGGCTCCAGTCAGCTGGGCATAATCCAGAGACCTGCTCAAAAAAATATATAAAAAGTCATAATTTCACCTTGCTGGGGGCAGATAGAAGGTGAAGAAAGAAAGAAAGAAAGAAAGAAAGAAAGAAAGAAAGAAAGAAAGAAAGAAAGAAAGAAAGAAAGAAAGAAAGAAAGAAAGGAGGGAGGGAGGGAGGGAGGGAGGGAGGGAGGGAGGGAGGGAGGGAAGGAAGAAAGAAGAAAGAAAGAAAGAAAGAAAGAAAGAAAGAAAGAAAGAAAGAAAGAAAGAAAGAAAGAAAGAAAGAAAGAAAGGAGGGAGGGAGGGAGGAAAAGAAAAGGAGAAAGGGAGGAAGAGAGAAAAGAAAGAAAGGAAAGAAAGAAAGAAAGAGAGAGAGAAAGGAAGGAAAGAAAGAAAGAAAGAAAGGAGGGAGGGAGGGAGCAAAAGAAAAGGAGAAAGGGAGGAAGAGAGAAAAGAAAGAAAAAGAAAGGAAGGAAAAAAGAAAGAAAGGGAGGGAGGGTGGGAGAAAAAAGAAGAAAGGGAGGAAGAGAGAAAAAGAAGGAAGGAAAGAAGGAAGGGTGAAGGGTTAACAGTGGTAAGGGTCTTCTATCGGGGTCCCCCATCTTTAGAGGGGCAAGTGTCTGATTTCTTGAAAGGGTTGTGAAGCCGGGCTGAGTCTCTCACGGCTGGGCGGGGGGCAAATGGGGTCTTCTTCAGAGGGGCTCAGATTTGCTTTAACCTCAAGGGGGGGCTCTGTATTGAGGCTCGCCCCCATCCCCCACCCCCTTGAAAGAAAGAGCCTGGCCCAATTGTCCCACGGCCGTCAGGAGATTCAGGCAATTCAACTGAGTATAAAGATTTATTGCAAGCTGAAGCTCGCTACAAGAATCTGATCTACTAACGGTCAAGGGAAATGGGCACTCAAGGGTCTGCGGAGATTCTCCGTCCTCCAGGTCAGGGTTGCCCCAAAGATGCTTTTGCAGGAGGCAACTGGGCTTCTTTGAAGACGTTTCGCTTCTCACTCAAGAAGCTTCTTCAGGTTCTGACTGACTGGATGGTGGGGAATGGAAGGATTTATACTCCTTGTAGACCGCTGGTCGTTTGCATCCTTTTAGAGGGTCGTTGAGGCCGCTTGGAGGTTTGTCTCTGTGCTCTGAGAGTCACCTGAGTGGTGCAAATGGATGTGGCACCTTTTCTTTGAAGATGTTTCGCTTCTTCGGCTCTGACCGGATGGTGGAGGAAGGGAAGGATTTATACTCCTTGCAGAGAGCTGGTCATTTGCCTCCTTTTAGAGAGCTGATGAGGCCACTTGGAGGCTTGTCTGTGTCCTCACCTGAGTAGTGCAAATGGGTGTGTGTGAAGGGACCCAGGGCAGAAAACATCCTGCAGCCAAGAAGGCTCCACACCCATTTGCACCACTCAGGTGACCCTCAGGATACAGTTAAACCTCCAAGCGGCCTCAACGACCCTCTAAAAAGGATGCAAACGACCAGCTGTCTGCAAGGAGTATAAATCCTTCCCTTCCCCACCATCCAGTCAGAGCGGAAGAAGCTTCTGGGATGAGAAGCAAAACGTCTTCAAATAAAAGGCTCCACACCCACGTGCACCACTCAGGTGACCCTGAGGACACAGATAAACTTCCAAGCAGCCTCAATGACTCTCCAAAAGGATGCAAATGACTAGCTGTCTGCAAGGAGTATAAATCCTTCCCTTCCCCACCATCCAGTCAGAACCTGAGGAAGCTTCTGGGATGAGAAGCAAAATGTCTTCAAAGAAAAAAAAAAAAACCTTTGGGAAAAGGCATTCAAGGTGGGCTGGAAGTAGAGCTCTTGTGGGCGTGAAGAGACTCAAGACTAATGGCATGTTTCACACACACACACACACACACACACACACACACCCTTCCTCAGCCTGCTACACCCACTCCTCTTTGTGTTGTCTCCTGCAGAAACATGTTCCCTTCCAACCTGGTGGAGGCTTCCTTCCAGCAGGTGAGATCCTGGCCCAGACCGGCCCCTTTTCACTCAATGGCTGCTCACTGGGATTTGGGGAGGGGGCTTTTGGAGGGGGGGTGGGATATTGCGACTTCGCCCCCCCCCACCTCCACTCTCACCCGCGGAATTTGTACAGCCGCTTTGGGCTTGTTCGAGCGTCCGGCCACAAATGAGAGTCAGACCACACCCCGAGAAGGGGGGGAGCCAATCACCTATAGGGTCCTGGATCCAGAGGGCCCCCTCAGAGGTCCTCTAGCCCACCTCCCATCTCAGTGCAGGAATCCAACCTCTTTCTGCCTCTGTCGGGTATGTTTGATATGATACGTTTAAACCAGGGGTAGGCAACCTTGGCTCTTTTACGATGCGTGGACTTCAACTCCCAGAATTCCTGAGCCAGCAGAGCTGGCTCAGGAATTCTGGGAGTTGAAGTCCACGCGTCGTAAAAGAGCCAAGGTTGCCTACCCCCTGGTCCAGGGAGATCAAAATGCCATCGCTGGCTCAGGAATTCTGGGAGTTGAAGTCCACGCGTCGTAAAAGAGCCAAGGTTGCCTACCCCCTGGTCCAGGGAGATCAAAATGCCATCGCTGGCTCAGGAATTCTGGGAGTTGAAGTCCGCAAGTCATGAAGGGGCTATAGTTCCCCCATGCTGGCTCAGGAATTCTGGGAGTTGAAGTCCACGCGTCGTAAAAGAGCCAAGGTTGCCTACCCCTGGTTTAAACGTATGAAGGGAGCCTGCCACCCCCTCCCTCCCTCCTTCCTCCCCCTCTCTCTTCTTCATCAGCAGCCCCAATGAAGGGCTGGTGCCAGAATCAGTGTGGAGGGTGAGGGAGGAGGAGGGGGGGTCCGGACCCCTTTGCAGCCCCCCCCAATGCCTTTACTCCTAAGGCTGCAAGCCTAAAAGAGGATGTCCAGCCCAAACGGCCTGCCAATCTCCCCGCTTGCTTCGCTTCCAGTACCGAACTGTCCTGGTCCCCGTGGTGAAATCCCCCGGGATCCCGAAGAAGGCCGGCACCTCCCTCAGCTTCATTTACTTGGTGCCCGATCCGGGGAACCCAGAGATCCAGCGTCCGGTCCTGCTGGAGATCACGCCCTCGCCGGAAATGATCTACCAGGCCCTTCCTGGCAGCAACAACGAAATGAACGTCTTGGGCATCGTCCTCTTCTCGGCCACGGTCGGTACGTGGTCACTGCTGGGGGGGCAGGGCAGGGCAGGCCCCCCCGACTCTGGGGTCCCTGGGGGCGGGAACGGGGGATGCCCCTTTTCTTCCCCCTCTCCCCAAAAGAAGCATCATGAAAACAGCAGGGGAGAGTTGCCAGTTGATCCAAATGATCCTCAATCAATCAGAATAGATTTGGAAAGGACCTTGGAGGTCATCTAGTCCAACCCCTGCTCAACTAGGAGTCCCCAACTCCCGGTCCATGGACCGGTACCGAGCCGCAGCATGCCAGCAACACAAACAAGCAAAGTCCCATCCACGGGATGCAGGCAGCACACAAAAGCACACACCCTCCGGTCCGCGGAAAAATTTTTCTCCATGGAACTGGTGATCCCGGATGCCCAAAAGGTTGAGGACCTCTGCCCTAGACCACTCCGGACAAATGACTGTCCAGTCTCTTCTTAAAAACCTCCAGTGATGGAGCACCCACAATGTCTGAAGGCCATCTAGTTCCACGGGTCAATTATCCTCACTGTCAGGAAGTTTCTCCTTAATTCCAGGTTGCTTCTCTCCTTGATTGGTTTCCATCCATCGTTTCCTGTCCTGCCTTCAGGTGCTTTGGAAAATAGGTTGAACCCCTCCCCCCTCATCTTTGTGGCAGCCCCTCAAATACTGGAACTCTGCTATCATGTCCCCCCTAGTCCTTTTTTTTCTCTAGACTGGCCATTCCCAAATCCTGCAGCTGTTTTTTGTATATTTTTGTCTGCAGGCCTTTAATTATCTTAGTTGCTCTTCTCTGCACTTTTTCTAGACTCTCAACTTCTTTTTTTATATGTTGGGGTGAACAGAAGTGGATGCAGGTATTCCAAGTATGGCCTTACCAAGGAATAATAATAATAATAATAATAATAATAATAATAATAATAATAATAATAATAATAATAATAATAATAATAATAATAATAATAATAATAATAATAATAATAATAATAATAATAATAATAATATAATAGTAGTAGTAGTAGTAGTAGTAGTAGTAGTAGTAGTAGTAGTAGTAGTAGTAGTAGTAATATAAAATAAAAATAATAATAAGGTTGGAAGGGACCTTGGAGGTCATCTAGTCCAACCCCCTGCTGAAACAGGAGACCCTACACAATTTCGGACAAATGGCTGTCCAGTTTCTTCTTAAAAACTTCCAGTGTTGAAGCATTCACCGCTTCTGGAGGCAGGTTGTTCCACTGGTTAATTGTTCTAACTGTCAGGAAGTTTCTCCTTAGTTCCAGGTTGCTTCTCTCCTTGATTAGTTTCCATTTGTTGCTTCTCGTCCTGCCTTCAGGCGCCTTGGAGAATAGCTTGACTCCCTCTTCTTTGGGGCAGCCCCTGAGATACTGGAAGACTGCTATCATGTCCCCCCTCGTCCTTCTCTTCGTAAAACTAGACATCCCCAATTCCAGCAACCCTTCCTGATATGTTTTAGCCTCCTGTCCCCTGATCATCTTTGTTGCTCTTCTCTGCACTCTTTCTAGAGTCTCAGCATCTTTTTTACATTGTGGTGACCAAAACTGGACGCCGTATTCCAAGTGTGGCCTTACCAAGGGATTGTAAAGTGGTATTAACACTTCAGGTGATCTTGATTCTCTCCCTCTGTTAATGCAGCCCAGCACTGTGTTGGCCTTTTTGGCAGCTGCAGCACACGGCTGGCTCATATTTCACGTGACCTTGATTCTCTCCCTCTGTTAATGCAGCCTAGGATTGCGTCTTAATCCTGAATGCAGGAAACTCCCTTAGGATCCCTGGAACCAAGACATGCCTACATTGGTTAATCCATAAGAAAAGATGCCAGCACAGAACAGAAAAACAGAGTTGGAAGGGACCCTGGAGGTCTTCTAGTCCGACCCCCTGCCTGTCTCCTCCGAGCCTGGAGGTCACATCCTGGAAGCTATGCTGGTGGGGATTATGGGTGCTGAGCTGCAACGTTCCTGGAGGGCCGAGGGTTGGCAGGAAGGTTGAGGCAGATATCCCTAAGGCAGGCCGTTTTCAAGTCACCCCCAAATCATGTGCCTTGTGTGGGTGGCTCTTAAGGATGAAGGGTCCTTTGGGTGGTGTTCATCTCTGCAAGACTTGTGGCTTTTTCGTGGCTGGGACGGTGGAAGAGAATTGCCTTTTCTTCGTTCCAGCCCCGTTTTCCTTTCTGGAGCAACAGCTCGGGGCTTCTCCTGGTGGTCCCCTCTCCGTAATGAGAACCTGACCTTGCTTCTCCTTCCAGGCCTCCTCCTGGGGAAGATGGGGGAGCGTGGGGCCCCCCTGGTTAACGTGTGCCAGTGCCTGAACGAGGCCGTGATGAAGATCGTGGCCATGGCGACCTGGTAAGCCCCCCCAGGCCACGCGGCGTTGCCCCCAGCCCTCAAACTGGCAGCCAGCTTGAGAGTCCACCCTGGCAGCCTTTCCAGCCTGCCCAGCCCCCCTGGTCACGATAGGGGGTGTCAGCCCCAGACCTGAAAGTGGGGAGAAGGCCTGGGGGAGCCCCTTTGATCGGAGGCTGGGAGGCCAGCTTGTGGAAGCCGTCCACTCCTGATGCAGTGCCAGTCCTTGTTAGAGCCGGTGCCCAGGTGTAAATGCTTGGGCACCTGCCAGGAAGGAGTGTGCCAGGCAGGCAGGCAGGCACACCAAGGCGGTGAGTGAAATTAAAACAACGGTATTGTCCCGGGGGGGTCAACTGGTTTTGCCCGGAGAAATTCCCGGGGAGTTCTCGTTCCCTCCCTCTCTGGCAAACGTTGCTTGTCTTCTGATGCAACCTTCAGGGCAGGAAAAGATATCATCTTACCTCTCAGAAGATCCAGAGGAGGAGGAGGGGAAGGAGGAGGAGGAGAGGGACAGAAGGAGAGAGAGAGTGGGGAAGGAGAGGGAGGAGGAGGCGGAGGGGGAGAAGAGAGAGGAGAGGGACAGGAGGAGAGGGACAGGAGAGGGAGGAGAAGATCAGGGGGAAGGAGAGGAAGGAGGAGAAGGACAAGAGAGGGAGGAGGAGAGGGAGAAGAAGAGGAGGGGGAAGAAGAGGGAAGAGGAGAAGGACAGGAGGAGAAGGAGGAGAAGGAGAGGGACAGAAGGAGAGGGGAGGAGAGGGAAGAGGAGAGGGACAGGAGGAGGAGGAGTGGAACAGGAGAAGAGGGACAGGAGAGTTAGAAGAAGATGAAGGAGAAGGAGAGGGAGAAGGAGAAGGACAGAAGGAGAGGGAGGAGGAGGAGAGGGAGGAGAGGGGTAGGAAGAGAAGGATAGGGGAGGAGAGGGAGGAGAAGATCGGGGGAAGGAGAGGAAGGAGGAGAAGGACAAGAGGAGAGGGGAGGAGAGGGAGGAGGGGAGAGGGACAGGAGGAGGAGGAGTGGAACGGGAGAAGAGGGACAGGAGAGTGAGAAGAAGATGAAGGGGAAGAAGAGGGAGAAGGAGAGGGACGAGGAGGAGGAAAGGGAGGAGAGGGATAGGAGGAGAAGGAGAGGGGAGGAGAGGGAGGGGAGAAGAGAGACAGGAGAGGGAGGAGAAGATCGGGGGAAGGAGAGGAAGGAGGAGAAGGACAAGAGGGGAGGAGAGGGAGGAGGGGAGAGGGACAGGAGGAAGGGGAGGAGGGACAGGAGAGGGAGGAGAAGATGACGGAGGAGAGGGACAAGAGGAGAGGGACAGAAGAAGGGGAGAAGAGGGAGGAGAAGGAGAGGGGAGAGAGGGAGGAAGAGGAGAAGGACAGGAGAAAAGGGGGAAGGAGAGGGAGGAGATGGACAGAAGGAGAGAGAGGAGGAGAGGGACAGGAGGAGAAGGAGAGGGGAGAGAGGGAGGAAGAGGAGAAGGACAGGAGGAGAGGGGGAAGGAGAGGGAGGAGAAGGACAGGAGGAGAGGGAAGGGAAGGAGGAGAAGAAGGTCTTCATGGCTGTTAGTCCGGAGTGCTGGTGGGGCCAAGGAGCCCACGGAGCTCTGAACACTCAGAAGGAATGTACCAAGGTGGGAGCAAATCATTTGCAGGACCTCCCAAGACAATTTGGGGGATCAGCCTTGTCCTTGGGATCCCAGCTTGGCCACCACGGAGGAGGAGGAGAAGCAGAAGCTGCTCTGAGATCCTTTGGCCACCAGATCGTCCGGTGTCCTGGACCTCAGGGCAGCTGTTGAAGGCTCTCGGGCCTTGATCAGTCCACCCTCTCCCTCCTGGGACGCCTGCCTGCCCCCTAACCCAGCCCCTCTGCCCCTGCCTTCCTCCCCAGGGATCCAGCCTCCCCTCCCATCCATCCCACTTGGGGCAAATCAGAGGGGCTCCCCCTCCTGACAGCCCCCCCTTGGCCGATTCCGTTGCCTCCCCGTGCAGGTACTTCCCTTTTGGAATCGTCTTCTTGATCGCCGGGAAGATCCTGGAGATGGAAAACCCGGCGCTGACTGGCAAGAAACTGGGCCTCTACGCCATGACGGTGGTGACCGGGCTGGCCATCCATGCCCTTTTCTTCCTGCCCCTCCTCTTCCTCATCTTGACCCGGAAAAACCCCTTCCCCTTCATCCGGGGAATCCTCCAAGCCCTGCTCATCGCCCTGGCCACTTCCTCCAGGTACGAAGCCCGGCAGGGGCAGCCAGAC